CAGAATCGGCGGAGTCGGCCGGTGGCCGAGTGGTCTGCTCGTCTGGTTTACAATCATCTCACCGGTTTTAATCTGCGTAGGGGCCGGCGTCATCGCGGTATACTCAGCCCGCGCACGACTACTGGTAGTCGCACGGCAACGAAGCGCCGTTTACTGCGTAAACCTGCCGATTGTTGTTTGTTGTTTAGGATTGGCGGAAGAACTGCATGCAGAATTGTGCTGACTCACGTGTAGGCGTGAAACGATCCACCACTTCCAGTGACTGTTCGGTGATAGCTGGAACTGGTGTGTCCTTCCAGTCCTGCAGCAGTACTTTGCACTTTGAAGGTACAAAGCACATGTCGGTACGTACAGCGCTACGCGTCAGTTTATCCAGTAGTGTTTGCATAGTCATTGCGCAATCATAAATACACAAGGCATAATAACATTTAAGTATATTTTAGATAGGACCGGGGCTAAGACAACCATGCATCATACCATAGATTGCATCAAAGTCATCCGAGGTTTGTCCACTCAGCTGCACCCTCACCCGCATACCACTGTGCGGGCATTCAGTTGGGCTTACAAACTTTGTCGAGCAACAAAACCCACCCAACACCAGCCACAGTACCTCGACGTTCACCGTGTCAAATGCCTTGGTGAAGTCTACAAACAGCGAGTATAGTGGCTGGTGTCGCTCTCTGCATTTTTCTTGTAGCTGACCAGACACGAACACCATATATATGGTGCTGCAGCCCGAACGGAATTCGAATTGCTCTTCCGCTACATGAGGTTCACCGACCTGAGTGGCGAGGCGGTTGAGCAAGATTCGGGTGGTCACCTCCCCCTTATAACTCGACAACCTACTGCTACTTTACTTCTTGTCACTTTGCTTGCTTCCTTTTCCCTTGCACAGTGGTAGCACAAGGGCTTGTTTCAAGTCAACCGGCACTTCAAACCACACGCGTTGCACCAAATGGTGCAGCGTATGTATCAACGCGTCTCCACCCTATTCCAACCCTTCTATCGGTATCCCCTCGGTTCCTACGCACTTACCGTTTCGTAGCTAAGCAAGTGCTCTCTGCGTCTCATCCACTGTCAATGTTCCCGCAAGACTTCATCGCTTGCTGTTGCATCGCGTGCGACATCAAACCTCTAAACAGTTGTTCAAGAGGTAGTTCAAGTGCTTACGCTAGATCTGCGTTATGTCTGCAGTCTGCGCGCAGGCAACTCCTGAAGTAGCATCCACCAGCGTCCTCGTTTGTTACAAAGTCGGCCCATACACCGCCTACAAGGAATCAAAGAATGCCTTCTTTTGGCGGCTTTCGGTGCAGCACTCTATCTACGCCTTCTCTGTCCACCATGCATTCTTGTTGCGTCAGGGCTGTCGAGTCAGTCGCTGTTGAAGTTTGCGAAACTGACTGTCCTCTGAGTCGACAGGGTCCGCTATATGTTCTGTGAAGGTTGCATTCTTTTCCAACAACAATGCACCATAGGTTGCGCTGTTGACAGCAAGCCGATCGTTTCCTAGTCAGCAGCAGTCACCTGTTCACGGCTGTGGCACTACAACTTTCCGATTGATGCGATGCAGTCGACATTGCCAAGGCGGGTAGCCATCGCTCTCTACAGCTCCATCCTTTTCTTAGCAGTAGCTAAGGAAATAACATTAAATTTGCGTCAGTTCAAGGTAAGACTGTAATGCATAGGTTTACAATAATATCCTCGCCAACTTGTGATCAGCGCCACACTCTGCTCCACGCAGTGCACGTGTCGTGCGCACTTCACGCATGTCACGCTGGCATGCAATGACGTAGTTAAGCAGGTGAGCGTGACCACTCCGGGGCACTCCCGAGTAGCTATATCACTCGCACCCAGTGCAAACCGGGTGTTCCTGATCGTCAAACCGAGTGGCGCGTAGTAAGAGCGGCCGGTCACCGTTCCTGTTGTCCGAGCCAATACGATACCGGCCGGTTACGTCTGTCCACACTGCGGCATCACGCTCAACGCGCACGTTGAAATCACCTAGTAAGAGTAGCCGGTCGCTCCTCGACACAGACCGTAAAACGGAGGATAACTGAGTGTACAACTTATCTGTCGTGTCATCGGGATAACATGGTGGGACCATACGTGGTAATAGAAGTGACAAGGTTGCGACGCCCGAGACATAGACGAAGAGTCATCAGTCTTTGGATGAGGCTAGTCGGCTCTGCCACTATCTGACCATTTAGGCGGTTGGATAGCGCAAATCCGACCCTTTGTTCACGGGGTGTTGTGGTGGCGTTTCTCACTCAGGGGTACGTGTAACCAGCGCCATCCTACTGCAGCTTGCCTTACTCAACGAACCGTGTCTAAATGAGTGCCGTATTATCAATCCCACAGCTCGCGAGTTCCATCGCGACCAGTGCCGTACGTCGCTCGGGACGCTCACTCGGATTCCGGTCGAGTAATGTGCGCACGTTTCAGCACTGTGTTGAACCCTTTGCGCAGAGTCATACGATTACGGTGGCGGGCAGTCACACCTGTGGTTACCTGGACTGGGGGAAGTAGTGGGTTGGGTGAAATGCGGACGGGGAACGTATGTGCAGGAGAAAAATAAAGAAGAGAGGCGTCAGCCGTAGCATATTCTCGTTTATCCACCCTGTTATTTGCAGCAGATAAGGCAACCCTTTTCTTAGTGCCACTGTGCGACCGCCGATGCAGCGTGGAATGCTTATTATTGACGTGATTCATGGTTGGTTTTTTGACTGGTATACTGTCAGGTCATCCACACCTGACAGAAGAACGACTTGGGTCCTCAATCAAAGCCTTCGATAAAATGTCAAGAGGCCTGCATTTTGGCACCGTCCGTTGAGGAATGGCATCCTCATGAACTTCGTTTCCGTGCTGCTAGTTAGGGATCATGACAAACTTGCGCCGTTATTGTCACCAGTTGACTTTGTCAAGGACGTCCCATTGCCGTTGACCATATCCTCATAAATGCTCTGGAAGGTTCGTTGTACGCTGGCGTTGGGCTCCTCCAAGATAGTCTAATTGTTGACTTGGACCACGCTGGCGATGCCATTATGCTGGGTGACGGTCCACAGGCTGTGTAACTTGTACTTGACCGTTTGGCGATTGAAGCGTCAAAGTATGGGATGGCTTTTTTCCCATCCAAGTGCAAGGCTTTTTTTCAGACTGGCAGATGCCTGTACCTGCACTTACCCTTAATGGTGAGACATGAGGTTGTAGAGAGTTTTGCCTACCTTAGAAGCTGCATCACTGCCGGGAGCTGTTGAAGGCGATATTTTCATACGTATCACAAGAACTCTGTCAGGGGGAATACCTAAATAAGGCATCAGTAAACCCTACACGGATCAACTTCCAGAAATCATGTAGGGCAATCGCATCGGTGGATCAAGCAACATTCTCGCACAATTTACAACTATTATTGGCAAGTAAAAATAGAACAGAAAAATGTACGTTCAGCATGGGCACCACGAACAAATGAACATCGGTAATCTGCGCCATGTAATTGTCTTGTGTCTGTCGGCCACTAAATCAGCACCTGCGATTTTGCCTTCTTGATCGCCCAATCGGATGAGCAGGTTTTTTGAGTAGGCAATCAAAGCGGCCCGGCCAGACCTTGGTGACCATAACAAATTCGTCTCGCTTTCACTAGCTTGAAGGCGGGCTTATTGTGAACTCCTTCGAGCTAAGTGTCACTACCAGCTTGTTTATTGTGTGGCAACCTGTAAAGAGACCACGTTTGGTTTCAGCGCTTTTTGCCCATGTCACTATTCTTTACTGCATTTTGTGTCCGATTCTTGAAGGCTGCAGTGGCGCTCAGTGTATGCAATGAATCCCACGGTGTTTCCCATAAGAATACCCACCATTGACACGCTGGTTTTACTTTCAAGCTATCTGGCATCAGCACTTTAACGGATGCTGCACCTTATCGGGCATCTTCAGTCACGTCCCTCCATCGCATTTACAAAATGGCTTGTTAAAAACAACTAGTGCATTGAATCAGCACGGGTCACCACTGCGATGAGCAACATTCGTTCTGAATGAGCCATTTTTTACAATCTGACTTTCGATCAGAGCACATGAGGGTAAGCACGTCTGTGTTCCGCTGTCTCTTTTGATTTCTCTTTTATCTCGGGACCAAGATGTGTGCCACCTGCGTGACAACATCCTAATCAAGCCCCCTTTATATTAAGCATTTACTAACATTGTGGGTACATGGTTATGGTTGAAAGTTCTAGCAAACACATTTCAGGTCCCGATACTTCTTATTTGCCTTTTGCCTTCTAAGCAAGTTTTATTTAGGTATTTATGTATTGGTTCCAAATCTTCCTCTTCGTCTGTTTACCCGCTGAGTGGCGATTTCCCGACGGGACTAGTGGCACTAGAAGCTTGGGCTCACCGAGGTTGTTTACTTCGTATCAGAAGACACCATTCATGCTGCGTAAAGATGTGCTTACCTTTTATTTCCGCAATATGATTTTATATCCTTCACTCTAGCTAACCTGGCACCAGAAAACGGAGTCATTGGGGACTTAAGTAGGTAATAGCAGTCTATTCCTCTTCCGAGTGTATTCCGTACGACCAGCCCTTTACCTGACTCGAGGTCTAACAGGACATAGCTAGTTTGCTTTGCTAACCTGTCCACAGAGTTAGGTTCATTACAACTCTTGACAGTCAAAGCCGCAACGAAGTTATTTCGAAAATGCCACATTATACCCAACTGTTTACCATCTTGTGTTATTGACGGTGTTTAAGCCCATTGATTTAACGTTTTCCTGAGAGCTTTTAAGTTTCACATAACTTATCCCTTTTCGTTTTCTATCATTTTGCATTAGTTGGGTAATTTTGGTCTTATGGCAACAAAGCACCTGAACAAGAAACTGCTGTGTGCTTCTGTTCGTAATGACACAACCCGTTCTTATGCCTAGCGGTCGACTCGCACTCACATCTTGTCGGCATACCCATCTAGTTGGCTTTGACTTCGGTTCTTTCATTGTACTTTCTTCCATGCACAGAATGTTCACCGATAACGAGTGCCATGATCTCAGGCCTGATGCTGAGATTATACCGAAGACGTCAGACGGCAAAAGTGCAAATTTTCGCAATCCTCTCACTCATCCGACGTACTTATCCTTCACACGTGCTTCAATAACTAGTGGAATCGACCAGTTGGCCGTCATAGACATGTGTATCATTTTTCCGGGTAAACATGAGACCTGTCCACCCGCATTCCATCAGCTTCCGGAAGCACTGTATACGAATATGGTAAGTCGATTGTTAATGTGAAGCAGCAAGGGCGAATTATGTAGTGCTCTGTGCCGGTGCATGATCTGATGCAACACACATCGCTCCATAAGCCCATACTTAATTGTCTGGCCTGTGTTTAATGTGTGTTTCCGTGAAATGTCAGACCTAGCTGCAACTCACGTTAGTTCGATGAGAATCCTAATTTCCAAGACTGATTACATCCTGAAACGGACTGCGCTCCAGCCTTCTCCATGTGCACGACGGATACACACTTTTCCTGCATATTCCATCCGTACTTTGCATGCTGAAAAATCTTGGATCGAGTCCGAATGCAGTCATAATTCTTATCCTCATGCTTCGGTCTTATTCCTTTGAGTTCTCTCTGAATGTTGGGTGTGTGCCACTTGCATTGACTGTAGACGCTGTCCATCCGCAGTCTTTCTTGGTCACAACGACAAGTAACTATGGAAAAGCGCGGATACCGCCAATCTCATGTCTTATGTCTCGCCGACTCACCATACCTTTCCTCAAATTCAGTGCCACTACTAATTCATACCTTTTGACACCATTGGCATCATTTTATTTGATAGATCTCGGCGGTCTTGTGGATTAGTAGTCAGTGACCGCGACATTTTCCCGTCACTCTTCAGCTACTTCCCTGTTATATCTATTTGTATCCGGAAAACCACAGTTCTGTTGCCTCACTGCAGTGTTTGTTCCGTGCCTAACACTAGTTTCATTCTTAGTGCAGCCAAATTAGCTAGCGTACCGCATACGCACACCTCAGCATACTGTGCTTTGCCGCTTTTGATGAACACCAGTTGCTTTGTGTATGGCGTTCACTTCCTCATCGCGTTCATCCAATAGTGTAAGTACTTCAGTTGGCTGCTCAACCTTTGGCGTTCATATCCTATTCGAATCCTACCCGAGGTGTTACTCAAATCGTTTTGGTTGGCAATCAAAAAGGACTGATTTGAAGCTTGCTTTAGCACAATTCTGCGCGTCCTACTCGATTACCTTGACTCTCGTCACACTAATACTGATGAGAATGGTAGTAACATAATGACAATACTACCTCTGACATGCAGAAGTATCGACACCACTGTCACGCGAGCAGTTGCAGTTGTATGCGCGCTAGAAGCCTCAGCGGTGTGCAGTACCGACTCTTCACTTCCGCGCAACCACCACTAGTCATGCGTGGGCTAAGACTAATGCGAGGGTCGCCCGGCCCCCTACACAGGTTTGAACATACGACCTCATGATTACAAGGCAGGCTTATAATCCCTAAAACCATGGGCCGGCTAGTGGGTTACCGATTCGGTCGCTCTTACGCAGGCTGTAATTGATGACCAGTGGATTGGGGGCCAGATGCTAGAATCACTCCGCCGCTGTCCTGTACTAAGAATAGTAATAGCACTACTAAACAATTGCGCGAAAATGAGGTGTATGGAGAAACGTTAGTAGCAACAATACTACAATCACCGACCAAAGACTTTCCATCTGAGTGCAAGAAGCCCCAGTCCTGGCGCCTTCATTTGTGCATGATTCCACTGAACTAATTCACGATTTTCGCTGCTTTATCGCCCAAAAAAACGACGTGTTTGACGATGAGAACATTCCAGGGTGTGAAGTCGACCGGTTTACAAAGGGCGTGACCTGATAAGCCTACCTGGTGCCATCGTTCTGGGCACGAGTCTATTTTGTCCCTACTTTTTCTTTGGTATTCATTAGGTCTTGCAATGTTAGCATAGTGTGTCACGTCTCACAGGCTGCACTCTCTTGGGGTCGGCATGTGTTGTGTTCCACAACCAGAACTGCCCTACTACGTTAGCTACCCAACGTTATTCTCCCGATTACTCTGGACACAGGATACCGAACAATGCAAGTGTATTAGTGAGGTGAATATATATATATATATATATATATATATATATATATATCACAATCTGTGTACAGGTATTGTGGCATCGAAACTATGGCGGAATAGGAAAACTGGGTTAGATAAAATGAAGGAAGCAAGCAAACAAATTTTTTGTCCATTTTCCACTCACAGTTTTTGAGTTTTTTTGATGTCTTTTATTGGGGAAGGGAAGGGGATGATCCGTCCATGGTTCGTCAATGGGCGAGATACTACCCGGTTACCCAGACCGAAGTAGAGGGTTGTCTTAGGGGGCCCCACCCCAAACCTTTGATCCAGGATCTAACCTACAAGCCAGCAGGACGATATGAGGTATCGCAACCCGTTGGGAGCCAGTGACCAAACAAGTGGTTCATACGCCTTTAGGACCGCAAACGACCAGGGGCTCAACACACCCTTGAATTACAATGCCACTCAGAGAGGCAACGGGCAGTGACTTTATTTAGTTGCGAGTCACATCCACCGCTTCACAGTGTTGTTAAACGGACAAATGTGGTTTTTTATAGGGAGAATGCTTACTAAGCGAAAACTCACCACGTCCTGGAACATTGCCGCCGAACCATTCGCTGAAACGATGATCCCAAACCACCTACCTGGCACCACGAGGAGGTTGTTCGGCAAACCAGCCGAATACAATATTTGTTGAAATGCTCTTAACCAAGATGTAAGCGTCAACACCATCACTACATATGTTTGTATGGGGAGGGAAGGCTCGAGTGGATTTGCATACTTTTAGAACGGGACACAGAAACATTGTTCCGTACCACCGTAAACACAAATGTCCCGGTTATGGAGCATGTTATTTCAATTACTGCACATGGTTGACCTCAGGCACTATCAGTTGCGTATTCAACTCACTGATAATCGCTATCCGCGAAGCTTTGCTTGTATCGAATAGCATCAACGTATCCGCAACTATGAGCTGCGTAGGCGAATGCATGGCTGTGGTAATAAAGCTGCTTGACCGGAACAATAGAGGGCGCTGAAAAGGTTACGTTGGCTTGGACACGTACTACTTACGTTTGGTCACTACTTACCGAGGATGGCTTTGTTTTGTTTGCCAGATGAAGAGTGGCGCAAGACTCGTGGTGGACGAAACTTGACTTGGCAACGGAAAGGAAGCCACTGAGGAATAAACTATATACGGTTGGTCCGTCTCGTATTCTATGCTGGTGTGCATGTGACCCGCCTTATGCTTCGCTCGAGATTTTACAGGACATGGCTCGCTACCGACAACAGTGGCGCGTCTGCTGCCCTCTCTTAGTCGGACTGCCTGTTTAAAGTGTGTTTGGAGCTGAGTTATCTGCCGGATACTGGCTGATTCTGACGCCGGTCAGTGAAAACCGCAAGGAAACTGTCTCACTGATGCTGCCTTGTCTTTGCACGTTGGCCCATTTGTATGTTACGGTGTTGTTGACAAGGTGTGAACAACTTTGCCCTCAATGTTTGCTTAGGGCATTAGGGTTTTCCGGTAAACCCCTTTTTTCTCCCTTTTATTATTCTTCATTCCATAGGTCGTTATGCTTGTATGGCAGCAAACCATCAGTTCAAATAACTGACGTAGAGCTGCTTCCGTTATTGGTGATGATAATGATTAGTCATTACGCACTTGCGTTCTGAATACGCGTTTTCTTTGCTATCTGCTATGTTTGAATGAAACTAGTATCGTTAAACACTTTGACCTTAACGTTTAAATAAACAAAATGAACTGACCATGTTTTCCATAGTTGATCTGTGGTCATATAACATGACAACACTGTCATTCAGTACATGAATTATCGCTTGTTGATGCATTTCTATTTCTAGGAGGCGCTTCTTCCGCCATCTATTTTAGACTCCGGTTAATTCTAGAGATTCCCTCGTCATTTGTCTCTGCACCCAATGCTCATCAACCCAATGTCTTTCTCTCTTTTTCTCGCGATTAGCTTGGCAACCAAGCATTTCTTTGTTTCCGAAAGTCTCTAATCAAGGAGCACACTATCGCTTACGAGCCCGAAGTGCTGTTCTGCTATCGGGTCCCATCAACAATCGTCGAATTGGAATCCAAACTCAATACCTCAAGTCCCTCAGACGAATTACAAACTGGCGGATCTCCGTCTCCGCAAGGTGAGGGTTGACTCATCGGGCCTAATCATTTCCTTTATCAACATTTGCCTTTTTTCTTCTGACTGCTCATTTTTATTCGCCAATCCAGTGTCTCATGGTAGACGGCCAGGCGATTGGCCACCTTTGAATTCAAGCTTTTTCTTTCAAGCGATGGATGTATCTCAGATCAATCACAAGAGGCCGGTTCGATCCAAATGCTCCTTTTTAATAGCTCCTTGTCCAGTTAGTCACATTGCCGCGGTGTTCAAAAGAATTGGATATTATGGAGAATGCACCTCCCCACATGATCGCGCAAGCTGGAGCCAGGTAAGACACGGGCACTCACACTCATAGCAATTAATATTTTCCGACAAGCCTCATCAATTACACTCACTTCTTCGGCACGTTCCGATCATTAACTTTGACACGCGCGTTTGGCCAATCCGCTTGCTTTCCCTAGTTTTGCATACGCAGAATGTTCTGTGTGAAAAGTTAAATACATCACCGATCTCGGCTGGATGACGCTGTATTCGTTTTATGCTGAACAAGTAACAGCGCCTGCTGCGAAAGGCTTGTTTTATGCTTTTTTCGGGGTCGCGTAGACCCGTGTGAGATTGTCGTTCGTTCTAGTCGTTCGATTTTTCTCTCGCTTAGAAACGTTTGACGACTGAGTTTACGTGTCGTATAAGTCTGAATTCTGTTACTTGCTTTTCGCGTGTGGATACAATCTGCTAGTCATTCGTTTGTTGACTAAGATAGTTGTTACCACGACGCAGTTATAGCAATAGGCCTATCAAAAACTATTGCACCTAAGGATGCAGGTAGGCAACCTTGAATCAGACCCCGTAATCCATTGGCAACGTGATTATATCATCCTTCTGCAAGACACCACTAGCTTTCCATTTCCATACTTTATTGTGTCTACCCTTCTCCTATTCGGCGGTACGTGACCACTGTCTGTTTCAGCAGCCTCTTCCAACCCTTAACACCCACCCTTGTTGAATCATTCCTCGGTCGCAATTTGCGTCAACTTGGTTCTTCGGTGACACTCGTCATTACCTTCGCGCTCCCTCGGAGCCAATTTATCTTACGCCTCTGTACGCACACACACATATACATACATACAACACCGGCACTCTAATACATCCGTGCTTGTTGGACATGAGTCCATTGGAACCGATCTCTTAAGCGTACTGAAGCCGTTCTTCTAGGGTAGGTCCAGTGAACAGCCGCTTGTGTTCAGTCCGATTTCGATCTGTCGGGATGAATAGGCAGCAGCTATGAAGATAACGTGCGTTTTTCCCGTTTCAGTGTATAGTCCTATCGATTGCGGACCTCACACTTGGCAACTTCTCTCTGTAGACCAAGTGGTCTCAAACACGAACAGTGGGGTCGTTGTAAGCCACCTAAATGATGCAGCCAGTCGCTTGCCGGAGTCATAGCTTCATGGTGGGGAGTGTTTCAGGACCGACGCTCGCCGTTCTAACGAAGCTGAACCTTCTTTCAGCTGTCCGCTGACCGCAATCACTACACCAACAGCACTGCTCCCCATCACCATTGACCGCATCGAATTACATGGCACCAACTAGAAGGTAGACTTTTACCTAGCCAAACTGGTAACATCATCAGGGAGAGCTAGGCGACGCGAGTCATCCCCACTGGACCCATGGCCCTTCTTCTCCCTCGATCATATCTATTTAACTAAACTCAACTGGACCGAACTGATTGTTTTCCACACCCATTCTCTTCCCTCGTTTTCTTGCGTTCGCGAGTACACTCTCTATGTACATGAGCTTTCTCACGTGTGTATCCGAGTTTGCATCCATGTACCCTCCTCTGTGTTCTCCCTCCCCGCCCTCCGCAGCACCACTGGATCCAGAGGTGTGCCAAGTCGCCCATTTCTGTTTGCCTTGGGGTGCCTCTATCGAGTCATGGTCTGTGGACCAGGAGCCTCCGCAACCGAATCACTTCAGTTTCGTCCTCACCAATGAGTCATGCCAACGGGTAAGTCCACTTGTTTGATAATGCGTTTAAAAACTGCTTCTCAGATCACAGTGTGAGCAAAACCCGAAAACATCCTTCCTTTGGAGCCCTTTACCCTTGTACTTACCTGTGTCATTTGTGAATGATACCACGATTATCCATGATGTGTTATCATCACTTATGACCATTGGAACTACGATTTCGGCTTAGACCGTAGCGAATATGGGTCAGTATAGCACACAGCAGTGTGCTATACCACATCCAATTAATTGGACTCTGATAGACAGGGGTCAAAGTCCTCTATTTCGGAAGCGCCGCATAGTTAATCCACAATCGACGTACAATATCTTCTGTCGCAACATGCGTGCATGTTATCATGCACTCATAAGGGAATGCCAGCGGTAAACATGTATTGCACTTACGTTGGTTCATTGGTTCTTCGTCAAAACCAGTGTGAAGAGCAAGCAATACTCGTAGACCCTCTGAACGCAATACGTGTACGAACTGATTAAATCCACAGACGTTGTAATGTTTGTCCCGCGAGTGACTATTTAGGGCAAGTGGGGTGACCATCATCATCCAGCCTCCAGTAGATGAGAAAGCCTGCGGAGGTTTCTTGCCGATGACAAACCCACGATATCACGATATGTGCGACTGATTGCACAAAGTTCGCTAGTTTTAAAATTTATTTGTGCACACGCGAACTGCAAAATAACTGTTGCGGGAACGTCAAGTAACCCCACAAAATGCGCCACAAACTCCAGTGCGTGGGCTGCGCCACGCGGAGTTCGATTCCTGCCCACAGCATAGCAGCATCCAGCCACTTCGAGTCGGGGCGCAACCGGGATAAAGTGAACAATGTTCTTAAACCACGCACCACCCTACGTGATGATTCATTTCATCCACAACATGAACCATTGTGCTAACTATGCTTCGGTTTTTGTGTGTCGTGAAAGAACTCTCAGAGGTCCGCTTCGTGTTGTCTTCTCCCTTTCGTAGGCTGGTTAGGATTCGCATTGTCCGTGATCGTGTGCGCCGTTCTAGCTGTGTGTTGCGTGTGCGTCTAACTCTCTCACCTCTAGTCCTCTGGTCGTGTGCACGTCGCTGTCTGGTTTCGGGGACTCAGTGCGTTACCCGAATACGTACGTGCATAGGGACTGTGCTCAGGTCACGTGTACCTTTCGGCTAAGCTAACGCGACCAGGTTAGCACAAATCCATTACCGTGGCGACGGTAGAGTTTTCGAATCATGACGGACGAGTACGCCGACTTGCAACTTATGCTGCAGCAGCAACATCAAATAGATGTCCATGCTAACGGACAAAATTTTCAGTCCTTCCCTTCACGCAGATCCGATTGGCGCTTCTCAACCAGTGATCCATGTCGTTAGCAGCATCAGTGAACTCCTGTACGACGCCAAGGTTGTAGTAGCGTTCGATTCTTGTTATAAGCGATCTGGCCTGCCTGGATAACGTGTAGAAGGTCCGACTGCTTCTGCGCAAACTGGATGCGCTCGAACATCAACACTATACCAGTTTCCTCCTGCCGAAAAACCCACCAGATGTTACTTTCAACGAGACGGTCCCAATTTTATCCCACATTTTTGGGGAGCAGTCTTCCATGTTCAATGCCCGTTACCAATGCCTGCAGCTGGCCAAGTGTGATGCCGACGATCTCATCACGTACGCGGGCATGGTCAACCGCGAATGCGAACGCTCTCAACTTGGTTCGCTCACAGAGGATCTATTCAAATGCTTGATCTTCGTCTCTGGTCTCCAATCTGCACTCGATGCCGATATCCGGACGCGCCTCCTATCCAAGCTATAGCAGGGTAGCAGTGACACACTCCAGAACCTGGCCAAGGAGTATCAAACGCTGCTGAATCTGAAGTACTACTCTGCCATGATTCAGAATGCCGCCGCACGTGGTGTGGTCCAGGCAGTCATAGCACCTAGGGCACAATCGTCCGTACGCCCCGCCTAACCCGACCGAGCGAAGTCCCCACCCTACGCGCCGATTCTGTCGTGCCTAGCATTTCCACCGGGACTACGATTTCCGCCAGCACCGATGCCAGCCTTGTGGCAGGGTGGGACACCGGGATGGTTACTGCCATCCTACAACTCCCAAGGGCCCCAAAACTGGGCTGGTCCCCACCCGCGATCAAAGGAATAGGTCCCGATTCAGACCCAAACCTGGTCCGATTGGCGGCTCTCTGAGCCTGCTGGTCACGTTTCAAATTAATGTTTCCGCTCGTAGAAAATTCGTCGAAGTCTCGGTCAAGGATCAGTTTGTTCGATTGCAGTTGAATACTGCGTGGGACATCACGATAATTTCCGCGGATCTCTGGCGATCCCTTAGCAAGCCTCCATTCGAACCCACCTCCCAATCAGCCACCAGCGCCTGTGGTGGTCGCTTGCAGCTAACTGGGCAGCTGCACTGCTCCGTATCATTCCGAGGCGCCATATTCAACTATAGCTGCTACATCACGAAGGCGAACCTCAATCTACTTGATCTCGACTGGCTCAAAAGCTTTGCGTTGGCTGATCTGCCTCTTCGGGCCATTTGCAATGCGGTATATTCTCCGGCAGTGCCAAGCGACCGAACCGACGACATCCGACAGTTCGTCGCGGTGTTCCATGCTGGTCTCGGCCGCTGTACACGCACGCGCGCCGTGTTACAGCTCGTATCTGGGGCTCAACCGATATTCCGTCCAATAGGTCTACCCAATACGCAGCCCTTGCCTTGTTCGATGCCGAACTCAAACGCTTGCAAGACATGGGCGTCCTGGTGACTATGCCCTATTCCACATGAACAGCGCCGATTGTCGTGGTTAAAAAGCCGAATGGATCTCTCCGCATCATACAGATTTCTCCACCGATCTCATCGCTGCGCTAGAGCCAACTCGCTACCCACTACCGATCCCAGCAGACCTTTTCACAGTACTCAACGGTGGTACGTGTTTCGCCAAAATCGACTTGGCAGAGGCCTACCTGCAGATCGAAGTCGCCCCCGAATCACAAGCCCTGTTGACGACCAACACACATCATGGTCTTCTTCAGTATATCAGGCTCCAGGTTGGTGTCAAAACTGTTTCAGCCGTCTTCCAACAGACGATGGACACCATGTTCTCTGGTATTCCGGGTAAGGCCGCGTACCTGGACGATCTACACATTGTTGGTCGCACCCCAGAAGAGCTTAAAGAGCGCATGGTTGCGGTCCTTCAGCGTATCCAGGAGTGTGGTTTCCGCTTGAAAGCTGAGAAATATCAATTCTTTCTTCTATCAATCAAATATCTTGGTTTCATTTTCGATGCTAGTGGCCGTCATCCTGATCTTAAGAACGTCAGAGCCACCCAGCAAGTGCCAGCTCCAGTGAATGTATCACAACTACGGCCCTTCCTGGATTTCATCAGCTACTGCGGCGCCTTCTTGCCATCGCTATACAATGTTCGAGCCCCGCTCAATCGGTTGCTGCAGAAGGAGGTTCCCTGGCACTGATCCCCCGCATGCGAGAAGGCCTTCGTTCGTCTGAAATCCATTCTGAGTTCTGACCTACTGCTGACCCATTACGACCCATCCTTGCCGATTTTACTCGCTGCTGACGCCTCTGCCTACGGGATCGAAGCAACCCTCTCATGTCCCTTCCCAAATTGTTCCGAAAAAGCGGATATGCATGTCTCTCATACCCCGACGCTTGCAGAGAAGAACTATGGTCATATTGAGAAGGAAGTCCTGACCACCGTGCTTGCTGTCACCAAGTCTCGCAAGCTGCTGTATGGCCGGCGCTTCACACTGTTGACCGATCACAAGCCACTACTTTCAATCTTCGGTTCAAAGAAGGGCATTCCCACATACTCTGCTAGCCGATTTCAGCCTTAGGCTGTCATCCTTCTTGGTTACGACTTTGAAATCCGCTACTGTCGTACTCAAGACTACGGTCAAGCCGACGGACTTTCTTGTCTCATTTCCAAACATGCTACAGAAGAAGACACGATGATCACCGCTGTTACCGTCAAGGACGACGTTCGTCATCAACTCTCGAACGCTATCCAAAGTCTCCCCATTACTGTCGCCGACATACGTCTCGCAACTGCTCAAAACTCTGTCCTGCAAAAAGCTGTCACTTAGGTTCAAACGCACTAGCCAAACACTGCCTTTTCTGGCGAACTCGAACAACTCTATCAACGCCGCGACTCCATTTTCATGGTCGATTCCTGGTTCATGACTGCAGATCAAGTTGTCGTTCCTTCATGCCTCTGGCAAGCTGTACTCCGTCAGCTCCATTCTGCTCACCTCGGTCTGAACGGAATGAAAGCAATCGCCCGCAGTTATATGTAATGGCCTCGTATTGACAAGGGCATTGAAGATCTGGTTCTTTGTTGCTCAAGTTGTCAACGAGCATCCAAGATGTCACCACACCAACTACCATTTCCTTGACAATCGACAGAAAAACCGTCGTCTCGAGTGCACATCTACTATGCTGGGGTATACGTTTGCGCATTATACCTTTAAAATCAAAGCGTATAACGGGCATTGATTTCTTCTCTGGTTTCTTCCTCCGCGCACTTTCTTTGCTCACCGAGAGTCGATAGTGTTCCACCCATAGCTATTCTCTTCTCCGGATCTTCCTCAATGATTTCCATTTCGTCATCTCTCCTCATGGATTTCAAAGACTCACAGAGAATCTGCACACATCTTCTCTTCGTCACTCAGAATCTTAGGACCCCCCTTTTCACAAACTTGCATCCGCAAATTTTCCATAATGATTTCATGCATAATTATTTTGGGTCCCACTTGCCCTGCTATTCATTCAAAACCCAGATGTCAATCAATCCAAAATATCTTCTACCATGCACACTGTGATGAGAGTGTCATTCCAGTATGAACAGGTGGGCCAACCGAGCGAGCCAGCCAGCCAGCCAGCCAATGGTCGACGGGTGTAACTGATTTGATTGCTGGACATGGATTGGCTGACATTCATGTGAGTTACTCATCGTTTGTTTAACTGAGTCAAAGGAAGTAC